ATTTGGATGCAGAATTGATCGAGAGGCCAAACCATGAACAAAAAGCCAAACCTTTTGAAATTCTGTTGAGTTTTGACCGAGTTATGTGGGTGGGAAATATTGACCTATATCTATGTAGAATATTTGAGGGTATCATTTTGACATGAATTTTGACCAAAAATAATGTTGCCAGATTTGGATGCAGAATTGATCGAGAGGCCAAACCATGAACAAAAAGCCAAACCTTTTGAAGATCGGTTGAGTTTTGACCGAGTTATGGGGGTGGGAAATATTGACCTATGTCTATACGATATTTGAGGGTACCATTTTGACATGAATTTTGACCAAAAATAATGTTGCCAGATTTGGATGCAGAATTGATCGAGAGGCCAAACCATGAAAAAAAAGACAACCCTTTTGAAAATCGGTTGATTTTTGGCCAAGTTATGGGGGTGGGAAATATTGACCTATGTCTATACGATATTTGAGGGTACCATTTTGACATGAATTTTGACCAAAAATAATGTTGCCAGATTTGGATGCAGAATTGATCGAGAGGCCAAACCATGAAAAAAAGACAACCCTTTTGAAAATCGGTTGATTTTTGGCCAAGTTATGGGGGTGGGAAATATTGACCTATGTCTATATAGGATATTTGAGGGTACCATTTTGACATGAAATTTGACCAAAAATTATGTTGCCAGATTTGGATGCAGAATTGATGTAGAGGCAAAACCATGAACAAAAAGCCAAACCTTTTGAAAATCGGTTGAGTTTTGACCGAGTTATGGGGGTGGGAAATATTGACCAATGTCTTTATAGGATATTTAAGGGTACCATTTTGACATGAATTTTGACCAAAAATAATGTTGCCAGATTTGGATGCAGAATTGATCTGGAGGCCAAACCATGAAAAAAAAGACAACCCTTTTGAAAATCGGTTGATTTTTGGGCAAGTTATGGGGGTGGAAAATATTGACCTATGTCTATATAGGATATTTGAGGGTACCATTTTGACATGAATTTTGACCAAAAATAATGTTGCCAAATTTGGATGCAGAATTGATCGAGAGGCCAAACCATGGAAAAAAAGCTAAACCTTTTGAAGATCGGTTGAGTTTTGACCGAGTTATGGGGGTGGGATATATTGACCTATGTCTATACGATATTTGAGGGTACCATTTTGACATGAAATTTGACCAAAAATAATGTTGCCAGATTTGGATGCAGAATTGATCAAAAGGCCAAACCATGAACAAAAAGCCAATCCTTTTGAAAATCGGTTGAGTTTTGACCGAGTTATGGGTGTGGGAAATATTAACCTATGTCTATATAGGATATTTGAGGGTACCATTTTGACATGAAATTTGACCAAAAATTATGTTGCCAGATTTGGATGCAGAATTGATGTAGAGGAAAAACCATGAACAAAAAGCCAAACCTTTTGAAAATCGGTTGAGTTTTGACCGAGTTATGGGGGTGGGAAATATTGACCAATGTCTATATAGGATATTTGACCAAAAATAATGTTGCCAGAATTGGATGCAGAATTGATCTAGGGGCCAAGCTGGAAACATGGATATATTAACTCGACTGTTGATACCGATGTATAATGTATATAATTTATAAATATATATGCAAGATCTAATTCAAAAATATTTTTATACCCTTCTAGAGGGTATACATGTTTGTCATGTTTAACGCATAAAGGGAGACTTCTTCAACGCCATAAAGTATATATATTTTAGATCAGAATCAACAGTCGACTTGATTTAGCCCTGTCCGTCTGTTTGTTTCTATGTGAACTAGTTTTGATTCGGCATTTTAATATAGCAAATATATTTTAAGAGCCAGGCATGTAGAGTAGAAGCTTAGTTCATATTGTCGTTCATATTCTGCAAAAGGAGCATTTTCGAGTTTTCAGATTATGGACAGATGCGAATGCGCTTGAATAATGCAAAGTGTTAATTGAATTTGTTAATGGTCGAAGTGAACAACAAGCAAGCAAAAGCAGTTGTCGTGGAAAGTGCTCGGCTACTTTATACCCTACAATCAGTCCGCAAGTAAATGTAATATAGATAAACATTTGCGTAAGTTATCGGAGACTTTAATACGCGTCGTAAACCTTGTTTTCGGCATAAATGAACGCAGATTTTGGTTTAATTTTTAATAATTAAATTTTGATTAACTTTTCATATACGAAGCTCGAAGGATAGCGCAATTTCTGAAATTATTTCAATTTTGATATATTAATAATAAATATTTTGGACCAATCCAACGAATTAAATACATTCGGCTTTGGATTAAGGTTCAGTTTCGATTTATAGTAAAAAAGATGTTAAACCAGTCTAAAACCGATTTATTTGTAACCATGTCCTAATATACCCCACCTAGGCAGCGTATAGTTGCAGGGTATATAAAAAAAGGGTCCGGCTTTTGCTACGCGCCCGTTTGCCTGTTTACCATATGCAAATAAATCGGTCCTGTTCGCTATCCCTGATTCCTCGGCGTGTCCTCAACGCTTTTGTTGTTATTATCGTTGTTGTTGTTGTTGTTGCTGCTGTTTTCGTCACATTTTCATATTACATAATTAGCGGCATTTGGGTTGCCTTCGCTGTTCTCTGCCGACTGCTCGCTCCTTGTTCCTGTCGCCTTGGTCGTCTGCATGAATAAATTGCAAAATGCGTAGCATACTTTGTGCTTTGCGCTTTTTGATTTCCGTTCGCACCGACCGACCGACCGACCGACCGACCGACCGCCCGGCCGCCGCCCCGCCTATGCAAATTGTTGTAATTACTACAATTCGGTTGAGCATTTTTATGGTCGCTTGGCAAAAAAATGAAAATGTGGGGAAAAAAAAATATATGCGGAAATATTTGTGCGCTAATTGGGTGGCGCGCTCACATTTTGAAAGCTGAGCCGAGTCGGGCTGCGCTGCGCTGGGCTGGGCTGGGCTGGGGGCGGGCATGAAGGACATGACCAGAATGGGAGTGTGCTTAAGCGGCGCTCATCAAAGGCGCAGCTTTCGCCATTAGCGCCATTAATAAACACTCGTTAGCATCCGCTGCAGCAGCGGGAGTGGGAGCAGCGGCAGCGCCCAAAACTCACCTCTCGAATGTGTTGCTGATAATTAGAATTAGCTCACAATTAGCACAGGCAGCGGAAAATATAGAGAGAGAAGGGGGGAGGGGGGAGGGAGGAGTGATGGGGGGATGGGTGAAGAGGTATATGGATCTGTATGAGCGGGCGGCTTGCTCTGCTCTAAGCTTATTAGCTGCGCTCAATTTTGAATTAATAAGCAGCTTGGACTTGGCGCAAATCCTTGGCTAAAAAATGAACGCCACAATAACGCGCGCAGCGAGCGTTCATTTTTTAAGCGTTAAGCCAACAATAGCAACACCTGCGGACAAAAGCAGCTTAACAAATGCGCAGCCAGCGCAGAGGCGTAACGAAGAGAGAGTGGGTGTAAGAGAGAGAGAGAGAGAGCAGCACAAAGCGTAGCATCAGCGGATTGGGCGTGGCCACAACAAGAGTTATTACATTTTAGCTAGTGCTTCTCTCTGGCTGCCTGTTGGCTGCATTTTAATAAATATGCAATATAAGTAAAAAGTATAAGCAGAAATATAAGTGAAAGGCATAAAGGAAACGCACGCCAATTCAAGCGCAGACAGCGACAAAGCAACGTGTAGAAATAGTAGGTGAGCGAGGGGGTAAGAGCCTTGCCAGCTGCGTTTAAGTTGCAGCCAATGCCAAAAGTGAAGGCGTTAATTACGCTGCCTCAGCGCAGCGTGCGCTAGAAAACGTGATGGCAACGCCATTATGGATAAATGACATGCGGTGAGGGGGCTAGCAGCGGGCGGCGGGGCTGCTCGCAGCGCTTTCATCTTGCCAAGCAACCCAAAGGCGCAGCGTGCAGTTGCCACATTTTTAATTAGCGCGCTTAAAAGCGCATTGAGTAGGCAAAAAGTAAAGGCTGTCGGGATGTGTGTGTGTGCGGGTTAGTGTGGCGTATAAAGGTGTGTGTTTAACTGTAAAATAACCACAACAGCTACTGGAGTTTGAAAGACTCATTATACGTTAAGCCGGATATTGAAAAGCAACATAAGAGTCTTTAAGAGATTCACATTTTGTGAATTAAAAGTGTGAAAAAGTAAATAAATAACAGTTCGGTTGGATTGCTGCAACAAATGGATATGGACAAGTTTTGATGGTCGCATAATGCACATGCACCTTAAATGTGAGTATTACAACTTTTCGTGCACGCCCACAATCTATGCATGCATGTACATATATCTCGCATATATTGTCATCCAAGCATTCGCTTACGCATAAAAGAACGAAAGCTCTCGAATATTCGACAGTTTGAGTGTCACTGCTTTAGATCAAAGTTTGACAATCAGTCGAAGGCAAGCATACCTTGGTAGCTGCTGGGAACAGACTACTGTGAACAGACTACTGTGAACAGACTTCTGGGAACAGACTACTGTGAACAGACTACTGTGAACAGACTACTGTGAACAGACTACTGTGAACAGACTACTGTGAACAGACTACTGTGAACAGACTACTGTGAACAGACTTCTAGGAACAGACTACTGGAAACAGATTACTAAGAACAGATTATTAATCCATTGGTTGCATCGAATTGCAACCTTTTTTTTCTAACTTTTTCCTTCATGTTTTATGCTCGAAATATGTATGCATCATCATTTAATTGCTTATGGCTCTATCTTATCATTGATTAAGAAATTACGTACGATTACGATTCGATTTTGAATGAACGATCATCCAGTTTGTTTGAGTTTCATTCGCGTTTGCTTTGTTTTTTGTTAACTTATCATTTACTTTATTTTTTCATGTCCCGTTGCTTTTATCTCTTTATCTTCGCCCTCTTGATTCCCAAGTTTATTCGTTGTTTTGAACTAGAAACACCAAAATTATCGATTGCCACAAATAATGATCGATAATCTGTCTGTTGACTTGGTTCGTTCATTCAGTTCCAGTTCACTTTCGGTGAGCAGTGTAAGCAAACTTGTTCAGAACAATTTTAGTTAGTCATATTATATATAAACCGATTTGGTTTATCAAATGGAAAGTTAAACAACAAAAGAAAATTCATCAAATGTGAACTTTAGAAAAACAATTAAAAAGAGAGAACGAAAGAAAACAGAAAAGTCTCAAAGGTCCCCAATGCGGTGACGTTACTTCGAAAGTTATTAATATTATCAGATAACGCCAATCTACAAAGCGTACAAAATCAAGAAAGAACACAGTCAAAGAACCCCAATAGACCATGGAACCTTTGGGCAAAGACAATTATGAGACGTGGAAAGTGCAAATGCAAGCGGTCTTAATAAAAAATGATTTGTGGAATTATGTGAATGGAACACATGTAAGGACGGAAGCCAATTCTCTACAATGGGAAACTGAGGACGCAAAGGCCAAATCAGAAATAGTTCTGGCCATGACAAGTTCGGAGTTGAAACATGTTAAGAACTGCGAAACTTCAAATGATATGTGGAAAGAGTTGCATAGTATTTATCAGGCTGCATGGCCTGCTCGTAAGGCTGTACTTCTGAAATCCTTAATTCTATTGAAAATGGAGTCCGGTGGCGATATGAGGCAGCACGTGGATAAGTTTTTTGATATTGCAGACAAATTAAATGCAGTCGAACAGGTGGTTAAAGATGATTTGTTGTCAACCTTCCTGTTATATAGCATGCCTGAAGAATACGAGCCATTCCGTATTGCAATCGAGTTGCAAGACAATTTGCCAACGCCAGACGATCTCAGGATGAAATTCTTAAACGAATATGAGGTCCGCTACAGATACAAACGTGAAACTAGCCAGAAACTTCAGGAAAAATGTGAAGAATTTAACAATTTAAGAATTCAGAATAATATCGAAGTAGTTTCCGACGATCAAAGAATAATAACTGAGCGTCATCAACAGCTGAAGATGCGTAGCGAGGAGGCAGCACGACCCGTACTCGGGCTAGAGCTTAGCCGGGACACACATCCCCAGGATGCGCCTAGCTCCGAACTGTGCATGCAGCAGGAATTGGATGAATTGCAATGCAAATATAAAAATCTACAGCGTGAGCATGAAACTTTGCTACATAAGACGCACATGATTTGCGACCTTAAGGCTAAGGTGGAGAGCGCAATCAACAAATTACATGACGATTATGCGGCAATGGTGCTAGAGCTAGTACAGCAGTTTGCCAAATACGAAGATGCCGCAGACGAGCAGGACGAACAGGACGAACAAGAGGAACAGGACGAACAGGATCAAATCGACATCTTGGAACAGAATCTCTGCGCCAAGCGGGATGAGCTATTTAAGACACTGGAGACTGCTGATGAACATGAAGACGATGACGACGAGCAGGAGCAATCCCGTAAGAAATTGATTGAGCTAATAGATTGTATAGAGAAGAATCTGAGCGAGAGGCGCGTTGCACTGGAGAAGAGGCAACATTTAATGAAACTGAGTACAGAAGAGCCTCTGGTAGATGGCAACGCCGAAAAAGCGCTGGTCTCCATTGCACCAAATAGCACGAATAGCAAGGGTAATTTCCTGCTAGCCAGGATGAAAGATCTCAAGAACTGTACACTTCAAGCGCTGGCAAGTATTTTCGATCCGACGAGACAACGACATGAAATGTTGCTAGTCGGTGATGAATGGAGGCATGGGACATGTGCTTTTAATAAAATGTTAGGACTCGGTGGCTAAATCCTTCAACTCTTGTCCTATGCAAGAATCGCATTTATTTATTTTTTCTCTGAAGTATCGATATTGCTCCCGTTCCGATATCGATATCGGACTCGCGGTATCTAACATAAGTATGCATATAAAGCTTCAGGAGAACTTTGATAATTATGGTAATTATGAAATAAAATGGAACACTAGATATTTGAGAATCAAATTGAATTTTTAGAACATCAATTGATTATACAAATATCAAGAGCTTAAAGAAACTTCATAAGTACATTTCCCCTTATCAAATATTTGCCTTCAGGTTAAGGAACCTTTACCCAGCTGATCAGGGATTTCCCATACCTTTCCTTCTCTTGCTTTTTAGTTTATATAATTTTTAATTAATATTGTTAACTTTGTTCAAGCTATCTTATTTAATAAACCGTTGTAATATTTGTATGTTTTTCCCTTTCATTTCCTCTATTTGTATTTTACATTATTATACTTTATTTTAGCTATTATATATTTAATTTTAGTATCGTTAATTTGCAATCAATTTTAATTTTGACTTTTGTTTTAATTCCATTAATTTACAATGCAACAAAAAAGTGCGTACTTAGAACAACAAATCTGGCAGCTAATTTATTATAATAAGATCCAACAAAATCTGGGCATATTGACAGCATTTTGATAATTTTGTTGATTATTATTTTTACAGGGTATGCAAAGACTGGCGAGAACATGTCTGCTGTTTTATCGCTCAGCTCAGTTATGTGGCTGCTGTACGGAAGCAAGCGGTTAGTGGGTGGCAAGTGTGTGCTTCACACGTTTGCCACAAGCTGCATGCCGCATGCCGCATGCAGGCTGCGTAATCCCCGCGGCGTTGACTTTTGCGAAAAGCCAAACCAAATTGCTGGCAAGCCTCATCTACCTGCCTGCATCTCTTCATTCCCAGCCACATGGCAGCCTGCATGTTAACATTTATCGCTCGCTAAAAGCCAAATGTAACATTTATGGCAATGCTTCAAAATGGCCAACAAATTGGGGGAGTTGGGGGCTGCCAACTCAGCGCGTTGATTGCTGCGGACACCGCTTATTGCATGCTTCCGGGCGCCTGGCAAAGCCACAGCAATGAACATCTGGGGCAGCTGGGAGCAGGAGCAGCCACTTACGCATATATATATATATATATATATCTGGGGCAGGTAAATCTGAGGCCATGCAAAAGCCAATTAGCTGCAGCCAGGCTGGACAAGTGGCATAGGAAAACAAAGCACTTGAATTAAGGCTCAGGAGGAATGTGCTTAGCATGTTTATTGTTTTTCACATTTCATGCACTTCAATGAGCTTCGACTTCGGCTTCAGCTTCAGCTTTTCCACTCGATGTGTGCGCCGCGCTGATAGCTGGAGAATGGGAGTGAGTTGGAGAGCGAGAGAGTTTTGGGGCCAAGTCGATTTCAACTGAACTGTAGATAATCCCCTGACAACAGCAGTTAACAGGCAACGATTACTTGGCAACAAGTCAATTACGAGTCGTGGCGAGTCATGGAGAGAGTCGACTCCGGGGCGAGTCTTGTGCCTGGTTGCAGCGATAAGCGTCTAACACACTGACACACACAACTCGGCCGGCTAACACAATAAATTCTTTGGCCTCGCCCTCGCTGCAGATTCCCCCCCTTTTAAATGCGCCAACTAATTGGGCAAGGGCCATGCCATGGCGAATGCGGGTTACGGATTCCCAACCAGACCTCACTCTTCAGGCCACACACCAAATGGCGGCGACCTGCGCTCCGCCCTCTTATCGTCAGCTGGCAATCGCTTGTAATCTGCTGCTCACTCACGAGCTAGTTTCCCGCTTTTCAAATTGGACTTAAAGAGAGGGTATTACAACTTTGTCGTGCTGTTTGTCGGGCTGCCTCTATCAGGTATGTTGAGTTGCACAGTTTAACCCGTCTAAACTAATCCGCTTAAGATCCTTTATTTATGAGCTTTTTGCCCACTTGTGCAGCTCACAATAATCAATTGAATATTCACATATTGACCTTAATGGCTATTTTAAATTTATCTATAGATAGATTAAGATGTTTTTATTACTAGCTGGTTTTAACTAGCTTTGCCTGAATCTTGTAATTTATTTTTTTTTCACTCATTTTCCGCCTGTTAGGGTGGATACGATGTGTATCGATTCATTGTTTATTAAGATTAAGATCTTTTCAAATGACTTTTAAACATAATCCACGACATTCATTTTGTATCCAGAAATTCATTTTCGCTTTTGACTAGAAAATAATGTTTACATAGATCCCTGAAAATGTGTTTGTTAGCTGAGCGTATGAAGCTCAATTGTTTTTTCATTTATTTTCCACCCTTGTGCGTGGTTTTGGCAAAATTGTGTATTAGGGCGAATTAGCGAATTCCAAATCAATACGTATTTTTTTTTGTAGAGCATTTGAGTTACGCATATTCGCAAAACATTTTCGAACTCTGGTTCAAATTACATTTTTGCGATTTTTACAACACTTTTATTGCCTGTCGAATGGCAAATGGCGATTGTCTGTGGTCTGGATCTGAGTTTTGGTCAAGATTTGGCTGGCTTTGCGATTTCAGTTATGCGGTCTCCAGAATTCAATTAAAAGACAACATAACATTGCTCTCTTGTTAGTTGGAAAGCTTGGCACACACACACACACACACACACACACACACACACATAAACTTGGACATTGAGTTGGGGCCAGGAATTGGACTCGTACTGAACCGAGTGAGATAAGGATAAGGGTAAAACAAGGTTTCAGCCTTCCCCTTCCCAAAAAAAAAAAAATCTTTTAAGCACGTGCTGCAAATTTGGCTGGCAAATGCTCAGCTACGAATCATTCAGGCGGTAACAACAAACAGACAGAAAAACAATGCGGCAAATGTATGGACTACTGAGCGAGAGAGAAAGAGAAAGAAAGAGAGAGTGAGAGATGTAGGGAGTGGCAGAGCGAGGTGGGGGAATACAGCTCATACGCTTGGCTGCATTTGCATATTTTGTTGCGAATTGTTGCTCGACTGGCTGCTAATAGGAAAATGCGACACAGACAACGAGCAGACAGAGAGCGAGAGCGAGAGAGGTGAGCAACAGCAGCGAGTGAGATACATAGAGTAAGAGAGAGAGAGAGGGCGAGAGTGAAAGAGATCGAGAGATTGTGTGCGTGTTGGCACGAATTGTTTTTGCATGTCTAATACGCTTTGAACTCGCTGGCGCTGCTAAGAAATATGTATGTCAAATGCTTAATCAGCCGCACACACAGACACACACTTACACACACACTCACACACTTATCAACTAGGCAGCCAAACAAAGCAAACGAGTGAACGAACGATGCATAAATATTTCAATAGCATACTTTTCGGCTACGTGCACTGTGAGAAAAGCCAGCTCCCAAAGAGGATACCCTTGTAGAGAGTACTATTATTTTGTCATGAAATGTGCAACGCTTAGAAGAAGACATTTCCGATTCCATTAAATATATATATTCATGATGAGCATCAATAGACAAGTAGAGTTTTTGAATGCGAACTTGTGTCTCAGTTTCAAAGCCATCGTCTTAAAACGTTTTATCGTTCCGTCTTTCTATGCCAGCCGGATCGGAGCACTATATCATATTCTTATTTACTTTCTTTTTTTTTTTTCTTATGATCATAATCCTTTTTTCGGCTTGCCAAGATATTTTCTTCCTTACAAGCTTCTCTATTTCCACAAATTTGCGCCAGCGTAAGGCAAGGTGTCTACAAGGGTATTAATTCTTCGGCCTGCCAAAGATATACATATCTTTGCGCAACTGACGCTCTATGTTGCATTTTATTTAACGTAAATAATTGAAGAAGTTTTGCAGACACACGCTGGCAAAAATAAATGCCGTGCTATTGGACTTGGAATGCAAAATCAGTTGCACACTCGATAGGACCCCATTAGACAGCGTTTGATGGGAATAAACAAGTTAGAGTAGCGTATTCCTGTTGCCATCGTGACACTCGATAGGCTCATACCCCATCTCAAATATCCAGAAGCTTGAATCAGGCCATCTCTCATGTTCTTTGGCCAAGCTTAATGTTTTATCCGAAACAGCTTAAATAAACAGCATGCATAATTAATCATTGATTTTTTTTTTCCAAATTTATTCTGAAATATGACGGCTGTACAGTAAAAAATGTTTGTTATAAATTAAGTCTTAATAGTTTTTTTTTTCGCAGTAAAAAATGTTGGTTTCAATTTAAGACCTGATGGACTATTTTTTAAATTGATTTCAGTTTGACAGTTAAACGCAGCACTTGAAGCTTTTAATTTAAAACAAAATTAGATTAAAGTCTCGTTGCGCATTAAATTATAAACAATGTGCCTAAGTTTATTTTTATTGCCTTTCCCCTCCCTCTCTTCCATTGCTCCCAATTCTCTTGCAGGGGCAGTGATAGTATTTTAAAATATTTCACCAGCTACAAATATCTTTTGGGATTCGGTATATCCGTGATACCACCTACAGATTTCTATGATTTTTGATCTGAGAGATCGATATATATATAGGTAAATAGGTGTTATAATTAAAGCTGCAAGCCGAACTAGTTCGAAGCAGGAATTTCTCTAAAATTAATCCAAAATCAAGCGATGGGCGAGCACAAATCAAGGTTCTGGTGCAGAACTTCATCTCTTGAACATGGTTCGTTCATGAACCGAAACTTAAGGAGGCGATTCGTCTATTCTCATTGAGCTTACAGCCCTTATAGTAAGCTTCTCCCTGCTGCTCGATGAAGTTTCTATGGCGTAACGTTAAGCAATTAAAATGTTTTGCGAGCTTGACGAGTGGGCGTAACTTAAAGAAGGATATTTATACGTTCAAAATAGCTGGGCTTAGATTGAAATTTGAATTCCATTTGCATATGTCTAAGCACGCCAATATATATATGTATATATATATATATATATATGTATGTATGTATAATGTAGGTTGATGTGCGTTGTCGAAACAACTTTGGCTTGTCTCAAAGTATTTCAAACTCATTTAGCTGGGAAAGTCGCGTGGGCTGCTGTTGCTGCTGCTGGTTGTCGTGGCGTGGCTTTTGCTGTAATTTCGTTGTCATTAAGTTGGCATTATAACAAAATGCCTTTTCAATCACTTTTGACTAAATGCAATGGCTCCGGCTGCTGGGAGCTGCCAGTGGCACCCAGCAATCCAGCCAGCCAGCCAGCCGTCGTTCGCCTCTGCTTGCCGCGCTTCAGCAAGTTTCGGCAATTTTTCGACAGGGATAAGTAAACACAACAATGGCACGGACTGGGTGCCACAATTGAGGAGAGCAGCAGCACAGAAGAAGCGGACGAAGAAGATGAAGCAAGCCGCAAAGTAAAAATAACACACTAAAGCCAAAAAATGATCTACAGATCGCCGCAGTTCAAATACTCTTGCTTGGTTAAAACGGGTAAC